TCCATATTATAACATGGCAAGTCAAGAAATCAGATTTCCTCCTTCCTAGATGCTTTTTGTTGGTGCTTGTTGTAGCTTGTGGTTTGTTTATTAACTTTTCTAGACTATTTTTGTATAATCTGTACCCTTTGTTATGTGTGGTTACAGAAGTCTTTTATCTATACTTTGGTAGTCCACTCATAAATTTGTGGATATATTCTTAATTTTTAGAGCCAAATAGTAGTAATCTTCCAGTCTTTACAAATTGACTGTGTTTGAAGTACTCAGTTAAAGCCCTGTCAGGCCAGGTACAATTCTGTTTAGCTGTTACTTCAGGCTTGGTTGGTGACTTAGGGTCATCTAGAGATGAAAGACTTAGGATCTTCTCACAGCATTTCTGAACAAGTGTCTACCCCAGACATGTGTGCTCTCTCCTAGATGTGGGGTCTTTTCAAAACCCTAATTTATTCATATACCTCCTCCCCTAGTCCTCCTTTCTAGGCAATTTCATCATTTTATTATTTGCCTAAGAATGTTATATTTTCCTTAGACAGCTATATCTATTACATTACCATTAATCCCTTCTATGAAATGACACTTGAAAAGTCACTTCACTCACAAATATTTAACAGTTATTTAATTAAAACATACACACACATATAAAGAGACAAACACACATGTATATAAAACAAAGAAATTCATATATTCTATAAAAATGGAAACAGATTCATTCATTAACATTTTTAAACATATACAATCTAGTTCACTAGAAAATATATATTTTTAAAGCCACATTGAATTTATTGAAAAAGTAAAGAAAAAAATAAACTCTACTATAGAGCCTATACTAGAAAACATTTTCTATAAAATCTCAGATTGTAAATATTTTAGACTTTGCAAGTCCGATGGACTCAAACCTACTCAATTCTGCCAATGCAGTGTAAAAGCAGCCACAGGAAAATTTGTTAAGGAATTTGTGTGCTATTATGCAGCCATGAAGAACAGACATATGAACTTCACAGAAACTTGGAAGGATTTAGAGTCTGTCATACTCAGTGAATAATCACAGAAACAAAGAACATAATACCATATGTTCTCACTCATAAGTGGACCTTGAACAATTATCATAATACTATAAGAAAGGGATTGGCAGTAGTGGGAAACTGTCAGGGGAGGGTGGAAGCTGGATTGGCAATGGGAAACTGCCAGGAGATGGGGGGACACACCTCATCAACAAGGGTACCTGCATAATGAAAATTTGTATGCCTAACCATGAATTGTACCCCACATATTTAAAATTTTAAAAAAATTTTTAGAAGAATTTCTCTTCTAGTCTTTGTGTCCAAGAAGAGAAATTTCCTGTGATTTTAATGTATTAAATTAACTTGCAAATTAAATATATTTGCACAAATTTTAATAAAGAATGTGTGCTTGTATTTATTCTTAAAAAATAAGTAAAAATCAACCACACTTAAGCCAGACTAAGAAAAAATGAGAGAAGATCCAATTAATACTCCCAGAAATGAAAAAAGAAACAATACATCTGAAACCACAGAAATTCAGAGGATCATTGCACATTATTATACAAAACCACATGCCAACAAAATGGAAAACCAGGAAGAATTGAATACATTCCTGGACACAGATAAATTACTAAAATTGAACCATGACATAATAGAAAACCTGAAAACTCAACACCAAGTAATGAAATCAATGCCCTAATAAAAAGTCTCTCATCAAGGAAAAGCACAAGAACTGAGGACTTCCAATAAAACTTTGTTTAGAAAAAGGTATGGGGCAGTGATTAAAAATAGTGAAGTAGGAAACTTCAAAGTTCTGTCCTTTCACCAAATTTTCAAAACAATAATCCTCCAAGAATTAGAATAGGTGGAAACATTCCAAAATATTGAATTAAGCCCTTATATTAAAACTGTATAGATATCACAAAACCGTATACTACATATCAATATCTCTTACTAATAAGACACAGAAATCTTTCAAGCATGATAGCAACTAAAATTTAGGAACCTGAAAAAGAATTACACATCATAAACAATTTGAATTAATTCCAAAATGCAGATTGCCTTACCATCTGAAAAATCAATTAGTATAATATACCATGTAATTGGAATCAAGAACTAAATTGCATAATCCTTTCAACAAATGTAGAAAATTTTTTGATAAAATCCAATACACTTCATCATAAAAAATACTCAGTAAACTATAAATAGAGAGAAACTTATGCACACTGATATTTGGTATCCATATTGAGCGTACGGCTAATCTCATCCTTAATAAAAAAGACTAAATCAATTATTCTTACTCCTAGTCAGCATTCTATGGCAGGTTCCAGCCAAGACAAATAAGCAAGAAAATAAAATAAAAGGAATTCATGCTAGAAAGACAGAAGGTAAACTATGTCCATTTGAATGTGACATGATCTTATAATGGAAAATTTGTAAGAATCCACTAGAAAATATTAAACTAATAAACAGACAAAGCTAGTTTTTAGAATAAAAGATCAGTAAACAATTAAAAAGTTTTATATAATTGCAATGATATTCAAAATAAAATTAAAACTGTCACACAAAGTGCCAACAAAAAAAGGTAATGTTTAAGAATAAATGTAACCAAAAAAAGTAACTCACATTGTGAAATCTACAAGGCACTGTAAAAGAAATTAAAGGATGTGAAATTGTGGATTGAAATACTTAATATTGTGATAAGGCCATACTCTACTCCCCAAATTGATAGATGCAATGCAATTTCTATCAAAATCCCTGCCTGCTTTTTTGCATAAATAGACAACCTGATCCTGAAATTTATACTGATAATCAAAAGACTTAGAAACATCAAAACAAGACAGGTGTGGTGACATGCCTTCCAGTCCCAGCTACTCGGGAGGCCAAGGCAGAAGATTCATCAGCACCTAGGTATTCAAGCACAGCTGGGACCATATGCGTGAGACACATTCATTTTCAAAAAAAATAAAGAATGAAAGAAGAAAAAAATAGAAGAGCCTTAAAATTTAAAAAAAAAAACAAAGTTGGAAAACTTATACATTCTGCTTTTAAAACCTAATACAAACCTACAAGAAACAAGAGAGCGCAGCACAAACACACAGATATAAGATAATAATAATCAATTATGGAATCTAGAAATATACCTACACATCTATGGGTTGTGACAAAGGTGCCAAAACATTTTAATTTAAAAATTATGTAACAAATACTGGTTGGAAAACTGATTATCTGAATATAAAAATTTGAGTTGGACCTCCTTATTTAAATGTTTACAAAAATTAACTCAAAACAGATAGTAAATAATAAAAATAAAGGGTAGAAACATAAACCCTCAAAGTAAGATATAAAGGGTAGCATTAGTCATTTTTTATTTGGAAATGATTTTTTAGATACAACACCGAAAGTGAAAGCAACCAATTTAAAATAGATACATTGGACTTCATCAAAATTATCACTTTTTTTCCTCAAATGACACCATCAGAAAAGTCAAAAGACAACCGACAGAACTAAAGAATATATTTCTGGTGTTTCAAATCATATACTTGATAAGGGACTTGCTCAAAATGACTAGAGATCGAGAAAATGTAAAACATAATGAGATATTGCATCACTCCCATTGGCTTTGATAAAAACACATGTTCATGTGGCAATTAACTGGAGAAACAGAGAAGTTGTGAGGTGGCTGCATTGACATCTTCAGCTCCCATTTTTGTTGATCCCCGCAAATCATCCACTATTAAATTTGAAGTTTATCTTACATCGTTAACTAACCCTTCTTCATTGGTGGAGAAAATGTAAAATAATGCAGGCACAATGAAAAAAAAGTCTAGCAATCTCACAAAAGCTTAAATATACAGTCATCTTATGACCCAATAATTCCACTTCTAGATACATACTCAAGAACAATGAGATCATTTCCACAGAGTGCTTACACATGAATTTAATAAATATTATTTATAACAGCCAAAAACAGAAAAAAAAAATAAATGTCCATCAATTAATGAATGAAACCGCATAGTGGCTCATGCCTGTAATCCCAGCACTTTGGGAGGCAGAGGCAAGAAGATTGCTTGAGCCCATGGGTTCAAGACCAGCCTAGGCAACATGGTGAGATCTTGTCTCTACAATAAATCAAAAAATTTAGTCAGGCATAGTGGCACACGCCTACAGTTCCAGTTACTTGGATGTCTGAAGCAGAAGGATTGCCTGAGCCCAGCAGTTCAAGGCTGCAGTGGTCGTAACAGAAGGAGACTCCAATTAAATAAAATAAAATTTTAATGAATGAATATCTAAAATGTGTATATCTGTACTATGTATTACTACATGCAATAAAATGGAATGGAGCTATGAAATATGATTTTCCATGGTTGGGAACATTATGCTAAGTAGGAAAAATTCATCACAAAAACCACATATAGTGTGATTTCATTTATTTTTCTGAAGTCTAGAATAGACAAATTTATACAGACAGAAAATAGGTTAGTGGTTGCCTAGGGCAGAGTTGATGCAGAAACAAGAATTGAGAAATAAACGCTAAAGTTTACATGGTTTTGAGGGGGAAGACTAAACTGATTGTTATTGTGGATTCACAATTCTGTGAATATGCAAAGAAACACTGAATTTTAGACAATAATTGGTGTTATATATGAATTATATATCAACCAACTTTTGCATAAAAAATTTATTGAACCAAGATATTCAAGAAATACTTATTCTCCTGAAAAGTCACATAAGATCAGTGACATGTCTTTGCAAGATTATATTAGCTAAATGTTAGTATTTATTAATATAATTGGAACTTTACACATAAATGTGTAAACAGGAGGTCAACTACCTTTTGTTTCGCTCCTTGCCATCCACCTGCTCAAACTATTGATGTAATGGATTTGCTTCAGAGTAAGAGTTATATTTTAACTTGATTGATTTACCCTTAGATATAAGAATGAGAAATAGGAAAAAAAAAAAGCAACTGGAAAGGAAGTCTTGTGCTCCATCAGGATGTCTATGAAGAGGACTTCAGTTCTTCTGCTGATCCTGCTGAGTTTTTACTTTAGCTCTGGAAACTGTGGGAAGGTGCTGGTGTGGCCCACAGAATACAGCCACTGGATGAATATGAAGACAATCCTGGATGAACTTGTCCGGAGAGGTCATGAGGTGATTGTATTGACATCTTCAGCATCCATTCTTGTTGACCCCAGCAAACCATCTACTATCAAATTTGAAGTTTATCCTACATCTTTATCTAAAGATGTCTTTGAGGCTCTTTTTATGAAACAGATCAAAAGATGGATATATGATCTTCCAAAATATAACTTTCTGTCATATTTTTCACATGTCCAAGAAATCTCTTGGAATTATTATGAACGTATTAGACATCTCTGTAAAGATGTTGTTTCGAACAAGAAACTTATGGCAAAACTACAAGAGTCAAAGTTTGATGTCGTTCTTGCTGATGCCATCAGTCCCTGTGGTGAGCTGCTGGCTCAACTACTTAAAATACCCTTTGTATACAGTTTTCGTTTCTCTCCTGGCTACACATTTGAGAAGTATAGTGGAGGGTTTCTCTTCCCTCCTTCCTATGTACCTGTTGTTCTGTCAGAATTAAGTAAACAAATGACATTCATGGAAAGGATAAAAAATATGTTATATGTGCTTTATTTTGACTTTTGGTTCCAATTAATTGATACAAAGAATTGGGATCAGTTTTACAGTGAAGTACTAGGTAAGTTATATTTTCAATTGGTGGTTATTAAGTCCTAATCTTCTGTGTGCCATTAAAAGTAAGATTGTATGAATATCAAGTCAGAGGAGTAGATTTCTTTAAGTGATATAATGAAATGAAAATATAAGATGAACTGTCAATCTCAGAAATAGTATGTAAATCTGACATAGGATCAGTTAGAACCCTGTAGCCATCACTCATACAGAACAATCCATTAAGTCATAAATCTGTAAATTGAAGCATTTATAATTTGTTAAATAATCAGATATCCATTTTACTATACTTTTATTTTATTTATTTATATTTTTTTATTTTATTTATTTATTTTTTTTTTTTTTTTTTAATTTTTTTGAGTCGGAGTCTCACTCTGTCGCCCAGACTGGAGTGCAGTGGCCGCTCCCAGCCACCGCAGCCTCGACCTGCTGGGCTCTGGCGATCCTTCCGCCTCTGCCTTCCAAGTAGCGGAATTACAGGCATGCGCTACCATGCCCAGCTGATTTTTTGATTTATTGTAGAGATGAGGTCTCGCTGCCCACGCGGGTCTCGAACCCATGGGCTCAGGCAATCCACTCACCTCAACCTCCCAAAGGCGCGGGATTACAGGCTGAGCCACCGAGCCCGGCTTACTTTTATTTTAAAAAGTCAACAGACACCTCAGGAAACATCTTGAATAAGGCAAAAATATCATTAAGAAGTTACATATATTTCTAGCACAGTTTTCATGGTAACATCAAGAAGCTGTTTTTCCTTATATATTTCAGTTTGCATATTTAGAAATCAATTGTTTTTCTTATAACCCAAAGGAATCCTTCTTATTTAAGAGATGTGATGACTGCATTGAAGGAAAAAAAAAGAAAACTAAAAGAATTTTAAGTTTGTAATGTAGCTACATTCTTTAACAAATTGCTTGAAATTATTTAGTGACTAAATTCTTGTTAAATGCGAACATCCAAGTTTTAAATCTGTATTTTATTAAACTATACCTCTCCATTAAGGAAAAAATGAGTCAAACTTGGGGGAGTAAAAAAAAATATATCTATTTCAATAATTTCTGATAATTCTCCAGCTGTCATTTGTAAATATATATTTTAAAACCAAATATTATTATGATCTTAACATACAACAAAAGCAATGGTAAGTACAAGGATTTCAACCATATTCTCAGAAAACTAACAGTTTATTTGGAGAACCAAGGATCATTGGACTAGTTTATTACATTCTAGAAACTAGCCTGAGTACTTCTTAGAAAGCTATTTTAATGGCTATGGTAGGATTGACTGTGGAACTCAAAGAGGTGATTAACTGTATATTTGTTACTATTGCAGCTTTAGAGAGGAAACAAATGTTTATTTAATACTATAGTGATGTATTTAATAATTACTTATAATTGCAAATATGCTGATGTGACATTACAGGTGTTGTTTTTTCACAATTTTCTTAACATTTTGCCCTTTATATATTCATACTAACAACATATATAACATATGAAGATAATTTTATGCTTATATACAAATAGGCATATATTGTTCTGTCAAAGCATAGATGCTTTATATGTCTTTGGCTATGTTATTTCAACTCTTTTCAGGAAAATACTTGCATAGTTACATGAAAACTCTCCTGTGTCATCCACCATATGCTTTTTTTTTCTTTTTGCCATTTTGATTTTCTTCAGGAAGACCCACTACATTGTCTGAAACAATGGGAAAAGCTGAAATGTGGCTCATTCGAACCTATTGGGACTTTGATTTTCCTCGCCCATTCTTACCAAATGTTGATTTTATTGGAGGACACCACTGTAAACCTGCCAAACCCCTACCAAAGGTAAATATATTTCTTTTTGTTTTCTTTTGTTTGCTTTGGATTTTCAGAAGACATGACTCTCTGTTTTTTTTTTTATTGAGTGTTTTATTCGCAATGAGAGAAATATGGGAGGTCAACTAAAGTGACTAGCCATTAGAAACTCATATATTTCTATTCCATCACAAATATGTGAATTTCATTATCATTACAGAATAAGAAGGGATACTAGGGAGTCTTAGGATTTGGTCAAATTAGGATCTTCATTATGAAGCTTATAAGAAAGCATCAGTCATTCATTAAAAGGATATTTATAATTTAACTGTCAAAAACCACGGGTCAGTACTGGAGTTTTAGAGAAACTAAGTAGACATGGTTTCTGCTCCCACACACCTTACATTCCACTTTGTAAGACAGAATATAAATATGTAAAAAAAAGTCTGAAAAGTGCTATAAGTAAAGACCACAATGATAAGTAACATCCAGATGAGATTCCAAACTCATTGATAATTACAATGAGTCTGAACAATGTGTAGGAATAGGTGAAAGGGTGAGGGAATAAGGGACCCACAGAAAGAAAAGCAGGTAGAAAAGTAAGAATGTGTCCCCAGACTACATGTTTAGTTTGTAGGAAAAGACTGAGTATAGAGGAAGATGATACTGGAGAAGTGAGTTGAAGACTATAAATACGAAGAGTTGAAACATATATTAAAGGTATTGGGGAGCTGTGAACAGACATAATGAAATCATATTACCAGATTTTCATTATTTAAAAAGTTAAAACTCCCAAGATGTTCAGTAGATTGAATTGCATAAGGGTAAGACTGAAAGAAGCAAACTGCTTAGAAAATTTTGTAAAAGTTCAGGCAACAGATGGTGGAAAGTGGAGCAGAATGTTCATTGTGAAAAATATGCCTATTTTTACCATAATAGCAATCACTTCATATTGTGTTGCATGGAAAAAACACTAATACACATAAAACAGGCAAAATGTTTCTGACACATAGTGATCCAGAAGTGTTAATATCATAATTATTGTTATTTTTGTTAGAAATGTTTGTTAGCCATTTGAGAATAATTATTCATATAATAGAGATTAGTTTGTCAACATAGCAAGTTTATATTCTCTAACAAAAACCTAGATAAAAATACCCCATGGACTTATTTAAATGTAGATGTTTAGATGTTGTCAGTAAGATGAGCATGAAATGCTAAAATTTTACTGTAAGGGATGAGACTCCTCACCAGTATTCTATCTTTAAAAGAAAAACAATCCTCAACATAAACGTATACCCTAAAATATTTCCAGTCAAACCCAAGGCATATTTGCTTTCACCCCAGCATTTAAACCATTCATCACTGAGATTTCAGAGTTTTACCTCCTACAGCATAAAAGGGATGGTTTATCTTATCAGAGAAGATGTTTTCTGTCTAATGCCAATCTTACAGTACACCTCATTAACGCTACGTTGGGGAACTTGAGCCTCGATCTTACAACTGTCTGATATAAGAGCACAGAGAAAATGTAACTGCATATATAATAAATCGAAATAATTTATACAACTTGTAACTGAAAACTTCCCTTTGGTCTGAATTATAGAAGAATTCTGTCAGCATATAGGATGATATTCCTTTTGAAGAAACACAAGAACCTAATATATTTTACTTTAATATACTTTTGTTACATAAATAGAAATCTTTACCATGTTGTTGTAAAAAAAAATCTCTGAAGAATTTGTCTATCTTCTTGTTAGCAGCAACATAAAACAGAAATTTTTTTCAAGAGATAGAATCCAATACATAGAATGAATTCAAATTGTTTAGGCTGTCTACATATAATAACTTTTACGAGGGATAAAAGCCAAGGTAAGATTAGAAACTTCTAGGCAATCTAACCTTATTCTCAAAAAAGTTTCCCTTTCGTGTGAAAGGAAACTGATAGGGCCACTGGAAAAGAAAACAAAATAGATGGAGAAAGAAGACAAGGGGAAGAATGACTAGTAACACACTAGGTATAATTACTTTTATTGGCTGTTGTAATTAACTTACAAAAGGAAGATTTGAATCCAAGTCAATGGTTGTGAAATCTCTCCTCTAACTCTTTATTTTATAAAATAAAACTTACCCTAAATTGCTTGCTTTTCAATTAAATATTAGATTCTCAGATGATGTCTGTATATGTTAAAAGAATTAAACACTTTGAAAAATGTATCAAGTGTTTTTTAAAAGTATATGGTCACTGCCTTCATAATATATTCATATGCACCTATACAGAGAAAAAATTAACCAATATGGACATTCTATATTTGTGAAATGTATTCATTAAAAACATTGCAATAATTCAAATACTTCATATTAATAAATATTTGTCAACTTGTATCAAATATTTTGTATTAATAAATGATTAAAACTTGTACTATGTGCATAAATCGCCATTAAAATCACATTATCAGAAATGTTTAACTACACTGTCATCCATAATGCAAGTCTAGTTAAAAACTGAGGGACAAAAGAGAAGTAGAACAAGATCACAATTCTTTGTAGAATGAAAACATACATATAATAAGATTAAAATATCCAAATATATGCTACATGTGTACATTGAGTTACATAAATAAAATAAAAACTTTAAAAAACATGCATTTTCAATCAGGAAATTCTCTAGACAGAAAGAATAGGAAAAGTGTATTTTCTATTTAAAAATTGTCAAACTTCTACAACATTTCTTACACTGATCTTATATTTCTTTTAAAAGATGTCACAAAATGAGATCAGTTATGCATCTGTAAAAAGACAGCATATTATCTCAATACAAGAAGCTGCACACCCAAGAATTATTTGAAATAGAAAAATAATGACTCACATAAAACATGATATCATAGGTCAAATTACATTTCTGGAAAATACATGGCAATATGTGCTGTGCACTATGCAAGTTTAATTTTTTTATTATTTTAACAATAGTTTTACAATTAAGTTTTACTCCAGTGATTGGATCTGAAATTATACTTGTTGTTTGGACAAAAAGATTGGTCATTATTTTATAGTGATAAAAAAACAAATAATATACAAATAATATATTTAAAACAAAAAGAATGATAAAAAGATGAGGATACAAATTTGACACTCTATTCAGGAAAGATTTGTCTCTTTATATCTTCCTCCTCCATGGGTTAATTAATTGATCAGTGTGAAATACAATCCCTCAATGCTTATAGTCAAGAAATGACTCCAAACTATTTGAGAAATTATATATAAAAACTGCCTGAAATAAGCACAAGTCATTTAATAGAACATGACACAGAATTGAAGCCAAGTGATGCCACCTCCCAACACCCTATGTTAGTAATTTCAAATCCTAAATGAAGAGTCTAACATTTTCTAGCATGATCTTCTTAGACTACAGTGTCATAGCTGTTTCATTTTTCCTTTCACATACATATATGTATGCATTTAACACAAACATGGAAAAAAGAGGCTACTTATATTACAAACCTTCTTCCTAAGAAACTTAGGAATTAGTTCAGTATAACAACATCAATTACTGTAAAAAAATTTTTGATAATACTTGATTTTCTATCCTAGTGATTGTTAAAATGTTTTCAATAGTGTTTACTGTGCTAATTCCTTTTTCTGATGGTGCAAAACTTTCTTCATAGGAAATGGAAGACTTTGTCCAGAGCTCTGGAGGAAATGGTGTTGTGGTGTTTTCTCTGGGGTCAATGGTCAGTGACCTGACAGAAGAAAGGGCCAATGTGATTGCATCAGCCCTTGCCCAGATCCCACAAAAGGTTAGATAAAGTGCATCAGTGGTGGACAGCCACTGAATAAGCTTGCCAAACTCCATAAAGAGTTCAATTAGAAATTTTTCTTCAAAATGTTAACTAATAAGATAGCTCTAATTATCTTAGGTATCAGTTCAAAATTTTAAAAATACATATGGAAGATGCTAAAATACTAAAGGAGGGGGGTGATTTCTCATCACTTTGGCATTAGCATTGTGATCAGAAAGAAATATTCTTAGGAAGTCCTGGTGAGGTTTGGGTATTACCATGCCATTTCACGCAGATACACAGAAATCATCAAGTTCTGTCCTGTTGCTTGCTCCCTTTGCTTACTGGTTTCCTGAGGACACTCTGCAGATATTATCAGAAAAGTTAAATTTTAACAAATAAGTGCACTAGCACAATGACAAGTAGGTATTAAAGTCTGAAGTACATCATGCAGTTTAGACTTGCCACATAATCTAGCCTCATGTACTTCCTGTACATTTTGGAATAGGTCTATTAGGTGTGCTGCTTAGGATGCAATTCAGTTAATAGATGACCTGAGCTTCAAGCCACTGATCCGTTTATTCACCTAGGTAGGTAGATTTAGAGAAAGAGCAAAACTTGCCTGACCTGCTGGATTGAACCCTGTTAACATCTTAAGGATAAAGATGTCATAGAAAGGATGGAGATCTAATCCTGCCCTTAGTGTAGACTCTGTGTATTATAAAGTGTGACTCTACAAGGACTCTGCTCTATCAGACAAACACCTCCCCCATATTGAGGAAGAAAAAGGGTATAAGGAGTCAAGATGAAGGAGACCAGACATAGAAAGGTTTTCAGATGCTTCCTTCCATAAGATATGTTATAAATTTGCTTTCTAATATATGTAATACATCTCCAGTCTTTATTTGTGAATTTCTTTTAAATTTACTATATAGCATAGACTCCTTCTAATAACCTATACTAATTTTTTGCTGAAAACTCAAAGTTATTTTACACACATAGCAAATAGGAGGCAACCTTTTGTAAATTATACTTCAGTTTATAAAGATTCCTTAGGAATTCTACAATAAGTACCTTATTTTTGGCACTGTGCATGACAATTTATTGGATATCCCAGGCCATATTAAAAATTGCTATCAATGCTTTGTACAGAATCATCTAAGTGTTAATGATCATGTAAGTAATATTTAGAAAAATAAAATATTATGCTCTTCTAACAGCTGTTTTGTTGCTCATGAACTGTTAACTCGTTCTTTTTTCCTACATTGAAAGAATTTCTAAAACTAGCAACACTTAATACTTTGATTCATGTCAAAAATTGCCTGGTGAAATTTTTCTTAGAAGCACCACTTAATAATTGTAATCTAAAAGAAGATATGCATACTCCCTAGCAGCACTGATGTATTTCTCACAAGTACTTGCTTTTATAGATTTTTCATAGTCAAATAATGTCAATCTCCAGTAAAATATCTTAAAAACAAGCATAAATAAACTACTAAGCATTCAAAAAAGAAATAAATTAATGTTAAATTTTGAAGTTGACAACTAGTATAAAATACACAAAATAAATTCATGAGTCATGACTAATTTGATACTGTTCTTTGCACTAATATTATAAGGATTGCCTAACGGTTCCTTAAACATTTGAAATGTTCACAGATAATCTAATTTTTCTAAGCTACTATTTGAAACAGAATGTGAATATTCTCATTACTTAAGACTTATAGTAGTTCTCAATAATCAGCATTCCTTGTACTCATACCTTCATTTTATATATATATGTGGTATTTAACTAGATAACTGCTAACTTTCTTGAGTTCTAACACATTATAACCTTGGAGTACCACTCATGGAATAAGATTTTTTTTTTTTTACCCTATCAGGTTCTATGGAGATTTGATGGCAAGAAACCACATACTTTAGGACCCAATACAAAACTGTACAAGTGGTTACCCCAGAATGACCTTCTTGGTAAGGTGCAAGGGAACAAATACTGAAGATATGATTAACAGCCAATTAGAGTGAAAGCAGTTTAACAGGCAACAAGGTTCTTGGACAAGTATGATTGAAAACTCAAAAACAAAATTTAATTAGTTCACACTTATTTCCCAGTACTAAAGAAAAAAAAGCTGTGATAGTTGGTGTTTTTTACATAAACTCACATATGTTATGACCAGAATCAAAGTACATTCATTTCAGGTGAAAATTTCTCTCATAGAGAGTTTTTTTAATAACTACTTAGGTTCTCTCTGTCTCCTATGTCTACAAGTCTACATCCATCCTTCTCCCTGCTATTCTAAATGTCATTATTTCAAATACCACTAAAAATAACAGTTCTCATATTACCGGTAACTATGAGTTTTCTATGGAATTGAACCTACAGTCTTTTATCATGATATGGTAAGGCACTTTATGATAAAGTGTAGCCTGTTCTGCCTCTGATTTCAACACCACTATCACCCCACTCCCTATTGCCCTCAACATCCTATGTGGTGGACTCATTTTCTTCACTATTTTTTATTTTTGAGTTGGAGTCTCAGTCTGTCTCCCAGGCTGGAGTGCAGCGGCCTTTTCATGGCCATCCCAGCATCGACCTGCTGGGCTCCTGCAATCCTTCCAAGTAGCCGGATCTACTGGTATGTGCTACCACAACTGGCTAATTTCTGATGTATTGTAGAAACGAGGTCTCGCCAAGTTGCCCAGGCTGGTCTTGAATCCTCGGGCTTAGGCAATCCACTCGTCTTGGCCTCCCAAAGTGCTGGGATTACAGGCTGCACTATTTTTTAAGAGAAAATGATTTTACATGGCCAAGAATTTTCTCTTTTCCCGAATTTTATTTCCTTTATCTGAATTATTCATTTTTATATTTTCCAACTGATACACTTGTGTTCATTTTTCAAGTCTCAAGTCACAACACCAACTATTCCATGGAAACTCCACTTCTCTTTTTATCAGAAGTCATTGCTTCTGCCTCTGAAAGTTGAAAGCAATTTATTGCAATTTCATTGATATAATCATCTGTCATCTAAAAAATATTGCAATTCAGTGTCATATATTATGCATTTCTTATTTTGTTTATAAAACTTATAATGAATAATTTAGCTAAAATTCATCCAATTCTAGGTCACCCCAAAACCAAAGCTTTTATAACTCACGGTGGAAACAATGGCATCTATGAGGCAATCTACCATGGGGTCCCTATGGTGGGCATTCCTCTGTTTGCGGATCAAGCTGATAACATTGTTCGCATGAAGACCAAAGGAGCAGCTGTTGCAGTAGACTTTAGCACCATGTCAAGTACAGATCTGCTTAATGCATTGAAGACCGTCATCAACGACCCTATGTGAGTATAACAATTTCTTTAATAAGTGGTATTTATGGATACTTTTTCTTGTCAACAGTGACTATGAGTTCCATCTGTTTTTTAAGATCCTAAATTTTTCGCTATTTCAGTAGCTTTAGCGAGTGCAAATAATAATTAGTTACATTAATGCACTTTATAATGGCAAAAACGTCTGGAGTTTAAGTGTACCCACCTCACTCACCTGTACACAGTATACAATAAGTGAACACTAGTCCTTCTATCCTTCCCTTCCTCTCCCATTCTCCAATGTCTGGTATATCATTCTCTGTGTCTTGTAGATCTTTAGTTTAGGTTCCACTTATAAGTGGGGATGTGTGACATTTGAATTTCTGTAACTGTGTTAGTTCACTTATGATGATGTTCTCCAACGCCACCCAAGTTGCTGCAAAAGACATTGATGCATTTTTCTAGTGACTGAATGTTATTTCTTGGTACATCACATTTTAATTTTCATTGATCAGTTGGTAGTTGGTATGCAGTTAGGTTGATTTTACCTCTTTGCAATTGTGAATATGCTTTGATAAGCATGAGTACACATGTATTTCTTGTATAACAAACCTCTGTTCCTTTAGGTAGATACCTAGTAGTCGGGTGGCTGGATCAAATGGTAGATCTACTTTTAGTTCTTTGAGAAATCTCCATAATTATTTCCATAAATGTTGTTCTAATTTGCACTCTTGCCAACAGTGTTTAAATATTCCCTTTTCATTGCATCTTATCTCAGCATCTATTGTTTTGCTTTTTTAAATTTTAAATAATGGCCATTCTGACTGGTGAAAGGTTATATCTCATGGTGATTTATGTGCAATTTTCTAACGGTTAGTGATGTTGAGAATGTTTTCATGCTTGTTGGCTGTCTCTCTCACTATGTATATATATTGAAAGATGTCTGCTCATGTCATTTACCCAATTTTTAATGGGGTCATTTGCTTTTTTTCATGATGATTTGTTTGAGTTTTTGGTAGATCCTGGATATCAGTACTTTGTCAGATGTATAGTTTGCAAATACCTTCTCCCATTGTGTAGGTTGCCTATGTACTCTGATGATTATTTATTTTGCTGTGTAAAAGCTGTTTAGTTTAATTAAGTCTCACATAGCATTCGGTTTGGAGAATTTAGCAACAAATTATTTGCCTAGGTCAATGTCCAGAAAAGTTTTTCTTAGGTTTTTTCCTAGTATCCTTATGGATTCTTATGGGTTCAGATCTGACCATTATGTCTTTAGTGTATCTTGGGGTAATTTTTATATATGGTGAGAGATAGGGATCAAGTCTCATTTTTCTGCATATAGCTATCCAATTTTTCCGGCACCATTTGTTGAATAGGTTATCCTTTTCCCCAGTGTATGTGTATTTGGGTTTATTTCTGAATACTCTATTTGGTTTCATTGATCCATGTATCTGCTCTTGTACCAGTACCATGCTACTTTGGTTTTAAAACTTTGTAGTATAATTTGAAGCAAGGTATTGTGATGCCTCCAATTTTATTCTTTTTGCTTAGAATTACTTTGGCTATTCTGAATCCTTTTGAGTTCCATGTGAATTTTAGAATTGTGTTTTTTAATTATTTGAAAAATGATGTTGGTAATTTAATGGGGATTGCATGGAATCTGTAGATTACTTTGAGTAATCTTTAACAATGCTGATTTTTCCAATCCATGAGCATGGGATTGTTTTCTGGGGCTTTTTTGTTTTTCGTTTTTGTTTTTTGTTTGTTTTGTCTTCTATAATTTCTTTCATCAGAGTTTTCTAGTTCTCCTTGTAGATATCATTCATCTCCTTGGTTAAATACACTCCCGAGTATTCCAGTACTATGTTAAATAGGAGTGGTAAAAGGGAACATTCTTGCCTACTTCCAGTTCTGACGGGAAATGTGTTCAACTTTTCTCCATTCAGGATGAGATTGATTGTGGGTTTATTGTGTGTGGCTTTTAATATTTTGAGGAATGTTCATTTTATGCCTGTTTTGCTGAGGGCTTTAAGCATGAAACAATGCTAGATTTTATCAATGCTTTTTCTGAAGCTAATGAAATGTTCATATGCTTTTTGTTTTTAATTCTGTTTATGTGGTGAATCATGTGATTTGCATATTTTGAACCACTTTATAATCCTGGACTCATAGTAGGTTGTATTTTTAATGTGCTGTTGAATTTAGTTTGCCAATATTTTGTTGACTGTTTTTGCTTCTATGTTCATCATAGATATTTGTGTTGGTCGCCATTTTTGTCATTGTTGTTGTTGTTGTTGTTTTCTGGTGCATTTTCCTGGCTTTGCAATAAGGTGATACTGGCTTCATGGAATGATTTAGAGAGAATTACCTCCTCTTCAATCTTATGCAATAGCTTCAGTAAAATTGTTACTGCTCTTCTTTTAAAGTCTTGCAGAATTTGGCTGTGAGTGAATCAGGTCCTGGATTTTTTTTGTTGGGAGATTTTAAATTCTTGTTTCAATCTCACTACTTGTTATTGGTCTGTTGAGTGTTTCTATTTCTTCTTGATTAAGATTGGGAAGTATTATGTTTCCAAGAATTTATCCATTTCCTCTGTATTGTCTAGTTTGTTTGCAAAGCAATGTTGATAAAAATCTCTGACAATTTTATGTACTTCCATGGTATCAGATATAACGTATCTATTTTTATTTCAGATTGAGCTAATTTAAATCATTTATCTAATTTTTTTAATTAGTCTAGTTAGTGGTCCATTAACTTTGTTTATTTTTTCAAAAAAAATCAACTTTTTGTTTCATAGATTCAGGGGTTTTTTGTTTTTGGGGGGGTTTTTTTGCTTTCAATTTCTTTTAGTACCTCTCTAATCTTGGTTTTTATTTTCTTCTATTAGCTTTATTTTTTTGCTTTGTTTTGTTTTTAAAATTTCATGGTTTTCTAGTTTCTTGTGGTATGACATCAGGATTTTAATATGTGATCATTCAGTCTTATTAACGTAGGATTTAAACACTATAAAGTTTCCTCTGAGCACAGCTTTGGCTCTTTCCCACAGATTTTGATTTCCCACAGCTTTGGCTCTTTCCCACAACTTGTTTGGTTGTTGACGTTTATTTGAAAGAATGTTTCAATTTCCATCTTGATTTCCTTGTTGACTCAAGATTCATTCAGGAGCAGATTATCTAACTTCCTTGTTTTTATCTGGTTTTAAAGTTCTTCTGGGGGTTCATTTATAGTTTTATTCCACTGTGGTTTTAGAAGGTTTTTCATATGATTTTGATTTTTTAAGTTACTGAGGCTTTATTTATGGCCTAGTCTATGGTCTTTTTTTGCAGAATGTCCTATGTGTTGATGAAAAAACAATGTATATTCTATAATTTGGGTGCAGAATGTTTTGTAGATATCTGTTAGGTCCTTTTGCTCTAGGGTCTAGTTTAACTTCAGTGTTTCTTTGTTGAGTTTTGCCTTGATGAACTGTGTATTACTGTCAATGGAGTGATGAAGTCTCCCACTATTATTGCTACCTATCTCTTCTTAGGTCTAGAAGAATTTGTTTAATAAAGCTAGCAGCTCTTGTGTTAAGTGCATATATATTTAAAATTGTTATATCTTCTTGTTAGATTGATCCCTTTAACAGTACATAATAACCTTTGTCCTTTTCCACTGTTGTTAATTTGAAGTATGTTCCTCTGATATGAGGAAGAATATGGCTCCTCAATTTTTGTTTTTATTTATCTGAAATACTTTTTCTATCACTTTACCTTGAGTCTATAGGAGTTGTTTTGTTAAGTGAATTTCTTGAAGTCAGCTGATATTTAGATTGTGTTTGTTCTATTTTAAACTATTTTGCCAATCAATATCTTTTAAATGATGCATTGAGAACATTTGTAGTCAGGCATAGTCATGATATGTAAGGTATGATTTCATTTATCATGTTGATTGTTACCTGGTTGTTGTTCTGTTGTTTCTTTCTCTCTCCCCCCCC